TTTGTTCGAGTGGGCAACAACTGCATACAATTTTAAGTTCTGCAACATTTCACAATGCTGATGCTGAAGAGAGAGTGGTTTTCATCACTTCCTCATTTACAATCTGATTAGTTCATCCAGAGATCTGCCTCCTCTCTCACGCTCACCTCACTGGGTTTAAAAATGATTTAAGCTTATTTTGTGTTTCGTTATTTTCCCATACATGCAGTACATTTGCCATTCCCCAATTGTTAGTCATAGCATGAGCTGTGATTGTTCTTTACATTTCCAGGTATTTAAAAAAATCAGACTGGCTTTACAGGGACTTTGTAAGAGAAACAGGCCCGCAGAACCACAAATCCTCCACCGTGCTTAGCAGTATGAGGTGCTTTTCCGAACGTTTACCCAAATTCACCTGAAATGTTTTCCACTGAGAAAACATAGCATTTTAGTCTCATCTGACCAAAACACACAGTCCTGCTTAAAAGATTTTTTTTTCTGTAGCCATTTTGAGTCTTAAAAGACCAAAATACATCTATTAAATATGTGTTCTTGTCCTTCCCATTTTGATGGGTGGCTAGAGCTAATGTTCCTCTCTAACCCATTAGAGCTAGAAGTCATATTTATAATTTTCTTCAGAAATATGTTATATAACATATTTATCATAACAAATATGTCATTGCAACTTAAATTTCTCAAGCTATTTGACTCTGTAAACTTTAGATATACAGCTTGCCCATGCTAACATTTTTAAGCACTATCAATAAAACTGCATGTATTAAACTAAATTTTTAACTTATTCTTTCATTCTTATTACATTTTGTTCTATTAACTTCCTTTTCCTCATTGTCAGTTTATTGAAACCCATCTGGACACAATTAATTCCTAAACTTTGCTTTCCTCCACAAAATGAATCCACATCCCTTCAGAAAGCAAAGCTGCCGTCTTTACAGCCGCTGCCTGTAAAGACGGCGCTATGAGTCATTTAAAAGTCTCATAACACTCATAGTGTTATGAGAGTCATTTAAAACTCTCATAACACTCATAGTGTTATGAGAGTTTTAAATGACTCATAACACCGTCTTTACAGGCAGCTGTAAAGCCGCTGCCTGTAAAGACGGTGTTATGAGTCATTTAAAACTTACTGGCTATTTTAACCAAGAAATAGCCAGTAAGCTGTTGCCTTATTTCTTGGTTAAGCCAATAGCCGTGAGATTTTGGATAAAAATAATAAACTTTTTTACTTCATCTCTTCAAAAGGTTGAGAGCAGCACAGTGTGAATCACTGCTGGTGACACAATTTGTTCTTTCATGTTCCATCTTTAAACTGTCACAACCAAAACGCTTACATGCCAGACAATGAGTCCATGGGCAGTTCAGAGGTTAATGTTGTATTTTCTGACTTCCGAAGTATTTCAGTAGTTAATGTTTAAGGGGGAGTTTTTCTACCATAATCCAAGAGTCGGTCTGTTTTCAGTGTGAAAGCAGGATTTCATGTCTTCTGTTGTCAAAGCTTTAAACGTCCCCACAGTGATCTGTTCATAAAGAGCAGCATGGGCGGCAGTGCGGGTCACAGCCGAACAGAAATGTTAGGTCAGGAGGGAAACAACAGAGATACAGCATGCATTTAATCTGAACTGCAGATTATGCATCCCTGGAGAGTAGTAGGAGAAAGTAGCAAAACTCAGTATGTTCTCCAGCAGCAGACTGAAGAAAGACACTCCCTGAAAAACAAAATGTAAAATGATAAAACACACAACTTGGTGTATTTCATTAACATTAAAGCATTTTACATTTAGTTTCCAGTTAAATATGATGTTTAGGTTTTATAGCATATTTGTCTGTTTGTTCTGTTTCCTGCTTACTCTCTGAAGATCTGCAGGATATCCTCCAGTTTCATGTGTGTCCCCCCCTGCAGATTTGAACACACTTCCTGTCCTGACCCAGTGGTGAAATTATAAAATAAAGTGTATCATTGTTCAAACTGCAGTAGTTTTATTTTCTTCTAACTGATTAGGGCGGCGTTAGCGCCACTTATCTGCTTCCTGTTTTTCACTACATCCTTCAAGCTCGGAGGAGCTGCTGGGTGGGGCTCTGCAGCAAAATTCACTTGATTATTCTGGAAGGTGGATGTGGAGAAGTTTGCTGTCTAATTTTAACGTCCCTCTCATCAGTGAAACAGGTCAGTTTGGGTTTATGCTGCTACATTTCTGTTCTTTGTCCTGTCTCCACAGAAAGTGTGTTGTTTTAAAGAAAATACATTTTCTTTCCATCTTTTATTTGGTCTGACTGCAGCTAGAAAACTTACTATTTTAATTCCTTAGCAGTAAAACATATTTCCTGGTTTCACAGGAGACCAGAGACAGGAAACCAAAAACATGTTTTTTTTCCATTTACTGGATCCGTTTTGCAGCTGAAACCGTCAAACCAACAGACTTTACGTTTTCTGGACAGAAAGAAATGTGGATTTTTTTCTCCACATTTCTTCTTCAAGATACTAACTCTACATGATTCTTTCATAATATCCATTAAAATGAATCCATACATTAAAATATGAGCCTTTAATGTAAAGGAAACAGGAAATACCAAAATTAATACAGTTTGTTGTCCATTAGCTTAAAAAATAAAATAAAATTAGGACTTAAAAAATAAAAATGGGTAGTTTTTGTTATTTTCTGACCTTATTGGGTAAAAATTAGCTTTAAATTACTGCAATACGTTTGGTAGCTGTAATTGATTTAGACTATAATCAAATCTGCATTATTTTAAATTATTACATTCTTTGTTGAAAAACTATTTTGTCTTTTAGTTTTATATTTCTCAGAATTGCAGACACGCGTTAACCTTTGAATCATTTTAACTATTTGTCTGAAAACGTGATAGGATCATCTACAGC